GACAACACCAAGCCAAAGGTTGAGATCCCCTTACTGGTAATCTTTTTTTTTAAAAAAAGAAAAAAAATTACTCTGAGGGCCGGCCCGTGGCACACTCAGGAGAGTGTGGTGCTGATAACACCAAGGCCATGGGTTTGGATCCTATATAGGGATGGCCGGTTCGCTCACGGGCTGAGTGTGGTGCTGACAACACCAAGCCAAAGGTTGAGATCCCCTTACTGGTAATCTTTTTTTTTTAAAAAAAGAAAAAAAATTACTCTGGCTGTTATGTGGAAAAAGTTCTGGAAGACAGTTAAAGGGAAAGTGAGGACCTGTTAGGATATTAAGAGCCTACTATAATAGTTCAAAGAAAAGGTGATGGTGGCTTGGACTAGGGAGGTCATAATGGAGATGGAGAATTGTAGATGGATTCTAGACATATTTTGAAGACAGAATCAACAGGGATTGCTAATGAATTGAATGCGGGGGTTAAGGGATTGCGAATGAACTGAATGTGGGGGTTAAGGGACTAAGAAGAAACAAAGATGAATCCCAAGTATCTGACACCTTACACGGGTAGATGGGTAATTCTTCTACAAAATGAAACCACCAGTTTCAGGTGACTGTGTTTATGTTAAACATGCTGCTAGTACAAGATACAGATGTTGACAGTGGCAGATATTCCCGATCCCTATCCCCTCAAAAACAACAACAAAGAAAAGGCAGACTTGAAGTAACTTACTATGGCTATTTTCCTGGCAGGGCCCACTACTCTAGCAAGATATTGTGGTGGAAACTTTCTGCAGATCTGGGATTTAAAAAGCCACAGCTACTTTTCTATCAGCCAACAAAGCTAATTTTAGGCCTAGATACATATGCCCTCACCAGGATGAGACTCATCTCCACCTTTATGCAGCACATAGACTGAAAGATTCCTGAAAAGAAAGCAAGACATGAAGATCACTCAAATAAAGAAAAATAAGACAAAGCTTTAGCACAGACTGAAGGTTTTCCAATATTCAATTACAGAACAGGAACTTTCATGCTGAAACAGGAATCTGAATATATTTATTTGAACTAGACAGATAAAAATCACTGTACTTTTTAGTCACAACTGGAAGCAAAGCATTAAAGTTGAGGACAAGTTTTGAATTTCAGTGTATCGCAAGTTATTAGTAATGGGCTTTTCATGCTAAAAGTCTTCCTGAATGACTATGGATATCTCTTATCTCTGAACCTTGAGCTACGTGCTCTTTCTCCCTGAACATTAGCTGTAGAAGTGCTTTATCTCAGCAAGGTTCTATTAAGAAATATGTCTAAATTTTAAACAACTCTGTATTAGAAATGTTACCATTTCTGTGCTATACTTGAATTTCATAGGTACAGTAGAAATCTTTTATAGATTAATCTTGAAGGCCACACTAGAGGACTTATTGTTCCAAAAGAGCACCCTTTAAGGGAGGCTCTTTTTTAAAACAAGTGCTAGTTGTTTGTTACTGTTTACTTCTAAAAGCTACATAAAGACTAAAATGATAAGAGGGGGGAAATGTATAAATCCACAAGGTCAAGGAACAGAAAAAGAGAAAGTTGTGGACAGGAGTGAGTAGACAAAAGAACAAGACAAATTTTTTTTATATATTATATAAAACCAAAATATAGCAGGAAAAAACCTGTTTTGTAAACTTAAATATGCAGACCAAGCCATAATGTTAAATGTATCCTCAATGTCAAAAAAAAAGTTTGCAAATTATTGGCTTGAAGTGTACACTGAAGGGGATATAGTTAAAAAGAGCCAATCAGCCTAGCACAGCTTAGGAGGAGCTTGGAACATAGACCATAGAGCCAAGGTCAGGCATAAAGCACAGAGCTTTTTTTTTTTTTTTTTTTTTTTTGGTTTTTTTTACTGA